TTTTTTTTTTTTTTTGATTCAACTTCTGTTTCTTCATTTCATGCTGGAGTGACCTGTTCCTCCCTGTTGTCATCTTAGTTTTAAATGTCATGACCACTACATCCTGGCAAATACTATAGGGGCACAGTGCATTGTGCTGCAGATTCTGTCTTCCTTGTGAGATGAGTCAGTTTGCTAAGTGAAAAAAGCGAAAAACAAGCAGAACTTGTTCGCATGACCAAAATTAAGGGTAGTATTATGCCTGACTTCAAAAGCATAGTTTTGCTGAAGAGTCTCAAGAATTCACCACCCCTCATCCAAATCATATATTTGAATGAACAGAGACTTTACAACCTTGGTTCCTCGGCTAATGTGAGGGAGGTTTTGAGACCCTTTAAAATCTGCTTACGTCCAATGTTTTAATTGTTAGGGTGTAAAAATAAATGTCCTTTGTCCACTTTTCTCTGACTTTTTGCTCAGATCTTAAGGAGTTTGTTCTTTTGAATGATTCTTATGTACAGAAACACTCTAATATGGGGTGGTAAGATGTCTACAGTAAGTAGTTTCTCACAAGATTACAGTTCAGTAGATTTGAGCCCAAAACCAAAGTAGCATAAATATATTATTTCACAGAGGAAAAATGCATAAGATTGATCCACAGGACTGTGCTATAAGTTGTCAAAATTTTCATAGGAGTGTATGAGAATTCGTGAGATAATTTTGATTATTATAGAGGCGGGAAGATGCACTGCATAATAACTTGTGGGGTTTGATCTGTAGCCAGACTTGAAGCTATCACCTCTGAAATACTCTGTTAACTTTTAATACATTGTACGGACTATGATCCAAGATGATGTGATTAGATTTAAAGAAAAAAAAAATCCCTGCCATGTGGGCTAGGAAGCAAATAATGATCACCAGCAGCCCATCTCCCCCCATTTCTAGGGGCAGACTACACCTGACAGATCTGCCTCTGTGTGTGGTAGTATCCATTTGTCCAGTTGAGGAACCTGTCCAAATTGCACTGCATCTCCAACCCAACACACAGTCCTAAATGTCCTTTCCTTGGAAACGAGAATGTGAGAAATCAGAGGAACGGGTATAAATGGGTCTTACTCTGATGTGACTCTGACGTGGACAGTGAGAAGCAGAATGATACAGATTCAATTTTAACTCTTCTTAAAGTAGAAGCCAGCCAAAAAAAAAAAAAAAAAAAAATCCTGGCGGATCTGCGTTGCGTGGTTTCGTTCTCCATGTGGATGATTCCCCGCTGAATCCAGCTGTGCGCACGCACCTGGCTGTTGCTGAAAAGAAGTCGATCAGAATTCAGGAGTATTAGTTAATAAGTGCCTGATCCTGTTGACCCTGTTCTGGTTCACCCACTCAGCTATGCGGGGGCGTTGAAGAAGGTGTCCTGCCAGTTAAACCAATTATAGCTGGCAAGTAGCAGTCATCAGCATTAGTGGAGGAGTTGGAAGGGACCAGGCCCAGTCACACCGGGCTCTGGTGGCTTTTCTGAACTTAAACAGCAGCTTTCCAAGTAGGGCAGAAAGCCAGCTTTAACCCTTTGTGTCACGGAAAGCCGTATTGCCCACTCAGTTCCGCTTGGTTTGCCGTACCGCTGTAAGACTTTCGGATCTCGGGGCTGGAAACTGGTTACTGCTGATGGGAAGAAAGCTGATGTGTGATGAGCAAAGCTATAGAAGTTCGTAACGATGTGAGAGATTTGGTTGGAAGAAGAAAACTGGAGTGTTACAAAGCATGTTAAAGATTTTTCCTGCATTGTTAGACCGGAGCTGTGATGAGTAGTTTTTCCTAAGCTGCGTAGAGCACAGGCAAGGCCACAGAACAGCCGAGCGCAGAGATGCAGTGACTTGGGTTAATAAGCAACACCATGTAATGAAGACTTCATATAAACCTTTTGTCTTAGGACCCTAAACGCTTCTAAAGAAACAACCCCACCAGGGAGGAGAGAATCCCAGCCCTTTTAGTCAATGAGGAGGTTCCCAACAGGATTTGTGTAGAGGTCAGGATTGCACCTTAAAGCGTCAGAAATCTTATTTGTGGTCCGAACTGGGGATCGCATCTAAATGTACTGCAGATACGTATAATGTTTTCACAAATACTTCCAGATTGGTAAGGCTTACAGCTTGTTAACCCTAGCTACCAGAGCAGGTTTCAAAGGCAAAACAAAAGGGTGTTAGAAATTGCCGTGTACTTTTTTCAAAGCCCAACCGAATGCAAGGATAAACAGTTGTTTAAACTCTGGCAAATTTCATGAAAAGATTAGGATGCTTGCTGAGTGAGACTCACGCTGTGTAAAATTCTTTGCTGTTCAATGAGATGTGTAATTGAGATCAAATATTTGTACATGCTATTTGAGGTAAAAACCATCATGCAGTAGATTGCACTTCTGGGTAACATTAATGAAGTGTAAGTTGGCTATTCTTTTCATATTCACTTGCTTTTTTTCATTTTTTTTTTATTTCAATTATGAACCCCATACATCCAATAACAGTGAAGTTGAAATGGGCCTTTCCAGTTAAAGACTCTTGATTTTTTTTATTTTTTTTAAGTGATTGACTATACAAGAGGATGAAAGGGTTCCTTGTCTTTGGCTGTTGGATGTTTTTATTTTCCTCTTTGCTTATAGGGATGGCTTTTGAATGTGTTGCTGTTTTAACAGGGTGGGCTTATTTTGTTAAGCTCCTAATTTGCCATCTCTTTCTGAGTTTAAGATTGTATTTTGATTTCTCCTTGTGTTAACATGGCTAAGGAGAGAAATTACTTGTAATAAGTGTTCACAGTTTTGTGGAAATACTAATAGTGTCATATGTGACTATTTAAATACAAATGCACATTTTCAGACAGTTTCTGTGGAGCAAGAGAGTTTAGCCAAATGCTGTGAAAAGAGAGAAGGAAAACTGTTGAGGGACAACTTTCTGCAGTGTAGAAACCAACACCTGAATTACAGCATCACGACAAACCTGAACAATGGCCATCAAACTGACTTTATTCCTTATGTTTGATCTCTCCTGTAGGTCAGTAAAATGGTATGAATCTTATCATTCTTTTCCTTAAGTGATACACAGGAGAACAAGTTGCACAGGCCTCAAACCCCTGTTGCTGGTAACACAGGCGACACGGTATAGCTTTGACTTCAGTAGCGTGAAGGTATTGATGGTGGTCCCATTATCAGCCCTTTAAAAAGGGTGTTCTACTGCCTAAGCCCTTTTTTAGTTTAAACTTAGACCCTCTAAAGCTTTATAAATATGCTAGTCCCATGTTTACAAAATATGCAAGATAACTGCTGTGCCGAGTAAAGGAAGCAGGTTGCTAATACTGGGTATTGGCTTCAACGATTATTCATAAAAGGGTGAAAGGGGTGAATGTTACTACATGAAGGTGTATTACGGTCAGTGCTCTGTCCCTTCTCTTCCTTCCTATGAAAGCCGAAGTCCAAAGTGAATCATGCCATATGAGCAGGAATACAGTAAGCAAAAATAACACCAAACCGAATGTTTAAGGTAATGGGTGAAAGTTGGAAATATCTCAAAGCGATAGGTATTTGGTAGACAAAGGACTTCTGTAGGCTCTTCATGAGGTACTAAAAGCCCTCACATTGTTTATCAGAAGCTAATCATCCTTGTTTGCTTATATCATAAAACTTTAACTCCAGTGATGTCTGTGAAAGGTCTTCCAGTTAAAAAGCTGCTTAAGCAAGATGGGAATGGTGCCCTGTATGTTCGGGCTGTGAGCCATGGGAAGGAAAGCTTTCCCTGTATCTCGTTCGGAGAGCTGTTCTGTAGTCTGCACTGAAGCAGTGAGATACATCTGTTAACGTGCTTGCTTCCTCGGTAGCAATGTTTTTCATGTGACTCCTCTCATGTTTCAGATGAGTGATTTTGGGATCAGGAACATGGATCAAGTAGCTCCTGTGTCTAACATGTACAGAGGAATGCTCAAGGTGAGTACTCTTGAGCTGTCACCTTCTAAACCCAACTGGGGCATCTCCCAGCTAATGCATTTATTGTGTTCTTATTAATGCGAGCACAGGGATTGTATAACCACGCCAAGGTGAACACAGACGTTCAGGTTTTAATTGCTTGCTTGTAACCGCTAATCTTCTTCTAGAGTATTCCCACTGAGTTCAGCAGAGATGTGAAAAGCAGAACTGAAATAGGAAGATGTAAATCTTGTACCCCCAACCCTCTCCCCCAAGGAGGCTCCCTCCCTCCATCCCCCAAATCCTAAGAATTTGAAAATTAGAGGTAGACAGGAATTGAGCTCAAATTTGTTGGAGTTGGTGGAACTTCTGCTAAATAAAGGTTACAGGATAGGCAGTAGGCATGGTCTTTATATCTTTCACTTGATGAGACTGGCAGAGGGCTGTTCTCATACAACTGGTTGGGTCTGATTCATTCAAGAACATTGTATAAAAGAAATAAGTTATTCACTCACTACATGTGAAACAGAAGTCCAATACATTGTAAGAAATCAAAAGTAGTTATTAATTATATTTTATCTTTAGATGGACTGTTACCCTGTTTTGAAAGGAACTTATGAACTGAGGACAAATGAGAAGCAGACTATAAAGACTCAGTCTTTAAGGGCTTCCCTCCTCCCCATTCATGCAAGTTGCTTTTTAATCCCAGTATCCATTTTTTACACAGAATTGACTAATGTAAACCAAATAAAGGTTAGGAAGACACTTTCTGCTCTCATTAACTTTGAGGAATGTCGATGTTTTGAAGAATCAGTTAGTAAGACAGTAGTATGATAACTTCTCCAGTGTTTTGTGTCCCCTCTTAGCTTTTGCTCCTGCCCACAACAACAAAATCCACAAGAGATCCCCCAACTTAATAGCTGTGTGCTATTTAACACAGTGGTTGTTCAAGGCAGTTATTCAGTGTTCAGTTGTCATAATTAAGTCAAAATTGAGACCTGTAATCTATTATTTTGTAGCTGTTCACGTTTCTTCTTATTTTGTTGTGTAATAATTACTCTTACATATGTTAAAAAGCCAAATAAAATGTTGCAAAACTGATAGGGAAAGCAGAATTTATTCTGTATTGGGTTTTTCCCCTTTTACTACTCTTAAATCAAGAACCTGCTTAAACATTAATTTTCTCCTTTTTGAAATATGAAACTAGCACAGTATGGATTTTACTCATTCGCATGCCACAGCATTTTTTCCAGTGACTCAGGATAAGGGTCAGCTATTTACACAAAACGCAGGAGTTTCCAGATTGTGTTGAAAGAACTTGCCCTTTCTTTTAGGTAGTAGCGATGAGTCAGTGCTTTTATCTAGTAATGTATAAAGAATCTTTTACTAGCAGATTTGGCAATTGTTATTAACTTGTTTCACTTGGATGTGAGGCTTTCCGTGGGTTCGCTTTGACTCTTTCCTCTGGTTGTGGCGGGTACCTGAACCAACCGTACACAATCTGTCTCTGCTGGCCCGTGCTCAGTGGAGATTTCTGAACCCAGTTAACCCCTGCATGCGTGATAGTGTTTATTTTACCAGCTTTTTCTTCTGTGGAATGTATGCTTTCATAATGCATGTAATAGGATGCGTTGCAGTTTCTTAGAAAATACAACTGTAAAATGATTATTTCTAGTTTTTCACTAGGGTTAATGTAATTTGATTGGGGAGGAGGATGATGCACAGCACATAAAAGCACACGGTGCAAAGAGGATCCAAGCCACTTGCAGCTTTGTGGTGACATACAAAGGAAGGTTAGGGAATAGGAGGCAACATTAATACTTATTTGCTGTTTGAGGAACATAGTTCAGGTTGCTTTTGCATCACACATGAAAAATTGCCCTGAAAAATCTTTGCCTTGTCCTCAGCTAAATCCTTTACCTTGGCGTAAGCTGGCAGAGCAGTTGATGCCTTAAACAAATAAGCACTTGTAAGTTGCCTTTGTCTCCAGCTCTCTGAGCTGCAGTGAACATGCTGCGGCTCTCCAGAACAATGTTCTAGCCTCAGGTGCTTTTAAAAAAAACTCAGTGGCAACTTTTATCCATCCCTGCCTCTAGATATTACAGATACTGGTTCCTTGTGACTAACAGACAAGTTGCATAAACTGTTTTTGAAGTTATTTCCTCCTGTGTTGACATTCCCTCAGCCCCCGAAGACCAATGTGGCTAGGGGATCTAGGAATAGTACTAGTACTGCGAGCATACACAATTGACACAGGTCAAGTTTGAAAGAAGTTAGGTTTTCAAAATGTAACAATACTTATTGAGTGTTGCCAATATATCAGTAGAATGCCCTTTTATCAGGAACGTTTTTATCGGTCCTGTTTACTCCTTTCTGTATCATGAAACTAGCAACGTTTCACTGAGCATCTCGGTACTGCAAAATGCAGTAGCTGGCAAATCCAGTAACTCAGAAGTATAAAAGTCACAGCAAAGGACTTTCCTCAAGTCCTGTAAAGATGGCTGTATAGCTTCAAGTGATGTGGTTCAGATTAAATTTTTGCTTTTTTTTTTTTTCTTAAAAAAGCTGCAGAAGTCGACTGTAGGTCTTGCACTGGCAGTTGTTTTTGCATAATTTACTGATCCTGCCTCTGCCCTTGAGTACTTATCAAGTGGATAGTCAATTTAAAGGGTTAAGGAAATAAGGAAAATTAAAATATACCTGGAAATAAATATACATATATACACACAAACACATACACACATGCATTCTCCATTGTTAAAAGCCTCAATTACAGGAAAACTAAGAACATCCTTACTTAGCTTTACTGTAACCTGCAGAACATGCCACCCACCTAGCACTGTGGTCTGAATGTTAGCTGTTTTGTATTCCTGTACAAGAAGCTATGCTATCATTGTGTTTATATTGCAAAGGCACAAGTTAGCTGATTCAAGATAGCGGTTGTGCATAACCTCCAAATCTAGGAAACCTAACCCAACCACTTCCTAGCAATGAAGTTGACAGTGCCCAAGCAAGATGCTTACGTTGTTTTTTTTTATTTGTTCTGTTGCTTTGCAGCGTCAACCAGCATTTGACACCTTTGATAGCTCAAACTCTCTCTTTGCTGGATATTTTTTCTCACTAAACGAAGATCAAACACTTCAAGAAGTGCCAACAGGATTTGATTCTACTTCTTATGGTAATTCTTTGCTTTGTTCCTTAGTCCAGTCAGAAAGAAATATACTCTTGGAAGTGCAACATGGATTTCCCTAAAAGAAGTGTTTTAGTACACAGACTGTTAGTCTGTACTTGGCTTTTTGTCCGTGTGAGTTGCTCTGCTGATAGTTGCTGTTCTCTGTACTGAAAAGGAATGGGAACTGGGATTCCGTAGCCTAATGAACTGACAGTCCATGGAAGAAGACTTAGTAGGTATTAAAGCAGAGCTAAGAGAGTTTAATTTTTTTTAAATAAAAACATTATTACCTGTATTTAAAATTGCATTTTAGTTATGGTTGAGGTGCTGCAGGTATTCTGCGAGCTGTGTTAAACCCTAGAACACAAAATCATTGTTCCCTTTCACTCCCTGTCTTCCCCCCGCCCCAGTCTGTTTTACTTCTTACCTTAAGTAAGACAGGGTTGGGGATGTATTCAGATCCCTTCTTTATTTTGTGTACGTAGGACAGTAGCTACTAAAAGTTCTCTACAAATCCTTGCCTAAAATCCCAGACAAAACAGTCCAAAATGTAGATATTTTACCTGTCCTGCCTTTATCTCCCCTTAGTGTGTGTGTGTGGGGGAAGCCTCAAACCTCTGAAAACCACCAGTCCTCTGTTCCAGTGTGATTCTAATCATTCACTGATCTGGTCAGCAAAGCAAGTCCCAGCAGATCTTGAGGATGGGTGTGGTAAAAGCAGAAGTGAAGCACGGGCTGGTAATGAGCTCCACTTGCTGGGTCAAGTGGAGCCTGTAGATAGTCTGGGGAAGCACGAAGAGCCACGCAGCTTCAGGAGCTGTCTTGAAGTCTGCCAAGTTCATCACCTTTATGTACCCTGCCACCGTTATATGCCTCGAATGTAGCAGAGCTCCTTTAAATGCAACCTGTACAAGAGTTCTCAGAGGCTCTCAAATGTTCAGGGATGTAGTAGGGAGTTGGTTTTGTTGTCCTCAAATTACCCCAAGCTTAATGACACTAATCACACACAAAAAAAAAGATCAGTAAAAGGTTTCCTAAGCTGAAACATCTATGCAGTGTGGTTGGTTTTCCTCAGCTTAGAAGTTCTTTCAGACTAAAATGAGGCATCTTCTGGTGAAAATTGCTCAATAAGAAAGGCTGAGTGGCAGCCAAATTTGTCCTTAAAATAGAATCTACTTGCAAATTTAAAAGTCAGTTAAGCAGATTAGTAATTTATACTGACATAGGATGATGCTGACTTTAACTTTTGTTGCATTATTTAGGCACTGGGTACTAGCTTGTTCCCACTCACACCTGTTTGGTTCAGAGGATAGAATAATCCATCGCACTGTGTACTTGGGTGATTGAGAGATGCACGGGAAGGTCAGAAATACAGCCCATTGGAAACCAGTGTTAAATAGTGCAAGCTGGTTCTTCACAAACCTGCTATCGGTTACCTAGCTCTCAAACTAAATGAAGACTGTCTACAGTTATAAGGAAGCCTGAGGTGAAACTATAGGTGACAAAATAAGAATAAGCGGTCTCATATTTCCTTAAAAAAAAAAAGAGTAATAGTAAAATTTCCCTGCAACAAAGGTACTTTATGTAACTATGAAGAGTAAATGAGGATCTATATCATGGAAAGCTGCAAAGCTTTAACTTAGCTTGATGTAATTTTATCAAACCAGTAGCACAGAGATTGTCAGTGTTGATATACTAATTCCAAGACTTAATAAATCAGAAAATGGATCTACGCTGTTTGTTTCTGTATTTAAAATACTTAGTTTCTAGCATCCCTTTCTTATTTTTCAAATAGCGCAGCAAAAACCTGTCGCTCCATTCACTGGCCTAAAAGTTAATGTATCTTCTTTTTCCCCTCCACCCCTTTTCTTTCTTGCAGAGTCGAACAACTGTGAATTGCCTCTGTTAACCCCGTGCAGTAAGGCTGTGATGAGTCAGGCCTTGAAAGATACTTTCAGTGGTTTCACAAAGGAACAGTGTCGGCTGGGTATCCCAAATAGTAAGTGTTTTCTATTTATAAGCTCTTTTTTTAATGCTAAGGAGGATGCTGAATAGCGGCTTTTTCAAAAGAGAAAGAATGATGTCAGTAGGAAATACAAGAATGGATCCTATGTGAATCTGGCACAGCTTGACTTGGAAAGACCAGACTTGCTGGTATTAAAAATGGGGGCATGGAGAGCTCATGTTTTGGCAGCATAAGAGAGATTCAAGTAAGCTGAGGACATCTCTGATTGCAAGTGAATGCAGAAGGAAAATAGAGGACTGTTTTGTGGGTTTTTTCTGTCTTTAAATTCAAGAATAAATTCATTCTGAATTCATAACTAAGTGACTTGCGCTCACACATTTTTTCATTCACTGCCTTCCAATGAAGATTATTTGACAAAGGCCAGGAGTTACCTCTAAATACTGGATACTTTCTGTTTTGCAGATCCCTGGCTGTGGACCGAACAGCAAGTTTGCCAGTGGCTTTCATGGGCTACCAATGAGTTTAGCTTGGCAAATGTGAACTTCCATCAGTTTCTTATGAGTGGCCAAGACTTGTGCAACCTGGGCAAGGAGCGTTTCCTGGAATTGGCACCTGACTATGTGGGTGATATTCTGTGGGAACACCTGGAACAGATGATAAAAGGTAGTTACAGAGCCAGAAAGAGCTTTTGTTTTAAAAGGCTTTTCCAACAGAAACAGAAAGGGGACTCTTTCAACACTTGTTTCACTATGAAGGGCTTTTATCACATACGAAAACTGAAAACGAACTTTAAAACTTGGTTAATAAAAGCATTATCAGCACTATTAATACATCCTTTGTACACAAAGCACAGATGCCGATATCTGCAGAAACTGTTCTGTGTTCAGGCTGAATACCTATTGCAATCAGGTTTTATTTGGAAAAATCATTGAAATAAATGAGGTTAGGATAAGGCTACTGTAATACCCCATTAAAAAAAAAAAAAACTAACAAAAAAACCCCAAAAAACAAAACAAAACCCAAAGTTGGACAAAATTTGTTCACTTCTTATTACAAGTTTTTGGTTTTATTCATTTAATGTAGTGTTTTGAGGTAATTCAGTGAATGAATGTAAAGATCAAAAGATGCCTAGAGATGTCTTAGGTGAACACAGATGGTATTGCTAAAACCCTGCATGGAGTGCCCTGTGAGTTCCATTGGTTTTGGAGTATAATATTCAGTAGTTGCCTACATTAAGGGCTTGGACCTTAAAACACACTGCAATTATTATTGTTTCTAAGTTTTATATATATATATATAAAATTAAATTTTCTAGCCCATGGGAAGTTGGTTGGGTTTTCTGATGTGGTTTTTTTTTTTTTTTGACAGAGAGAGCGCAATGCAGTGTGTTAGTAAAAATTATGTGAATGGTGACCCCCAAAATTGTCAGTCAGAAGCTTTTTGTGGCATATAGATAAAATCTTTAAAACTATAAAGCCAAGCTTTCTTTTTTTTCCTTCTCTCTCCAGACAGCCAAGAGAAAACACAGGATCAATATGTGGAGAACTCTCATCTCACCTCAGTTCCTCACTGGGTCAATAATAATTCCTTAAGTAAGTGTTTTAAGTCTCTTGCGTTTATTCTAAGCATGTCACAGATGCAATGTAAAAGCAAAAAAAAAAAAAAAAAAAATAAAAGCACCAGAATCGTTACTGTGCTTGAGGAGAACACTTGACTTCAATTGCTATAGCCTTCTTTCCTCATATTGTTTAATTGTCATCTAATTCATATCGGAAATCTTTTGAAGAGCAAAGGCTTTGAGAAAATCAAATTTCCTCTTGGTATGCCAAAGCCCACATCTGGGGAGCAGGATGGCCACTCCCACCTCTAGCAAACCGAGTCAAAAACTAGCATCACTGGGGAGCAACGGGAGTTACGTATAGGCCTTTTTGAAGACTGTGGAAGCGTAATAGAGCTTTTGAAAGAGTATGGGATGCAGTGCTAACTCCCTCAGATTGTTTGATTGGTGTTGTATTTCATTCTACCGCAGTCAATCTCCAGCTCAACCTTATTACACCACTTAATGATGAGGGCCTTACTCAAAACCACTTAAGCTTCTCCAGCTTTTTCTGTAGCCCTGTAGTTTCCTTGAAGAACAAACAATAGACATATTTGTGGTCAGCAAGTTATAGAGGGAGATTTACAGCATCTCATTTGGAGCCCATTAGATGGGGATCTTCTCACTGACTTCAGTAGCCTTTCCAGTAGGTCTGTAGCATCTATCGTTCTTTCTTGGTCAGATTTTCATGGGAAAATTACTTCTTCATGGTACAACTGTAGTGAGGTGCTGGAGGTGTATTAGTCTAAGAGACTGCAGAGAAAAACATCTAATTCATTCTTTTATTTCTTTCTTCAGCTGTTAATGTAGATCAGAACTCCTATGGTATGCAAATGCCTGGATACCCTAAAGCCCTCAGCTATCCCAAACCCAATCTCCTGGCTGATGTCTGTCAGACTTCCACAGGACCGAATCTCCTCAATCCAGAACAAGAGTTTTCATTGTTCCCTAAAACCCAAGCAGATGCTGTTGGTGTGAACTACTGTGCAGTGAATCAAGATTTCCCAAGAAGCAATCTGAACTTGCTGATAGATAATTCTGGTGAGTCATTACCTGCATGATAACTGTGGGTTCAAGGCCATATTCTGTGTGTCTTTTCCTCCTTTGTGTAATTTATATATACCAGCTAGATTAAAGGGGAGAAAAAAAGAACCCAACACTTTTTTATTTTTTTCTTTTATAAAGGTAAGCTTAGAGAACACGAATCTAGCGACAGTGGTGCAGAAAGTTACGAAAGCTCAGATTCGATGCTACAGTCCTGGAACAGCCAGTCGTCATTAGTGGATTTACAGCGTGTGCCATCCTATGAGAGCTTTGAAGATGACTGTAGCCAGTCCTTGTGTCTGAGCAAACCTACGATGTCTTTCAAAGACTATATTCAAGAACGAAGTGATCCTGTAGAGCAAGGGAAACCAGTTATACCAGCAGCCATTCTAGCTGGCTTTACTGGTAAGTAGTGAAGCAAAATGGTCACTCCTCTTCTTGTGTAACATCAATATTCTCTATAAATATGTACCATGGTGATAAAGTTGTATAGTTGTAAAGTGTGCCTTATAACTTAGTCAGAGACCACTACTCATGAAGAGTTTCAATTTTAAATGTTACTAAAGAAAGTCTTGTAGGACTATCCATCTAAAGCAAGAATGGGCATGTACATCAGAACACGTGAAAATCAAATGCCCTTTTTGAAAAAGAGGGAAACTTGGACGAAATCTCCCACACTTGGGAGTTTCCACAGGTGTTGGATTGCTTTTTAAGACCTTCTTGCTGTAGTCCTTGCTGAAATTGTTTTTTTCTTCTAGAAAGTTTGCCAAGCCAGGGACTGCAGGACAGGTTCAAGAGCTTGAAATGCAGCTGATGGGAGGTGGGAGTGAGGGGTAAGGGGTGCATATTGAAGGGAATGACATAGCTTGGGTCAAATCTTGTGTTTCCATGAAAAAGCTGAGTTGTTTTAATTTAAACGTGTTCATGAGTCCATTTGTATTATAGAGAAAAACCCTATAGGTTTCTTTCTGATATAAAAAAAAAAAAGAGGCAAATCAGAGTAATTACAAGAGCTATCCTGTGATATGAGTGTGATCACATACGTTGGTTGTGGTAAGAGCCTGCAGAAGTATTAATTGTGGTTTCTCCCCACCCTCTCTCTCTCTCAACAGGCAGTGGACCTATACAGCTATGGCAATTCCTTCTGGAGTTACTGACTGACAAGTCCTGTCAGTCGTTCATTAGTTGGACTGGAGATGGATGGGAATTTAAACTTGCTGACCCAGATGAGGTATGTGGTTAATTGTGACGAACAAAAAGATTTAGGGTCTGCTCTGCCATCTGTGGGCCTGGCCTTGAATGTAAAGCATTTACACGATCAGACGCATACTGAAGTCTCTTCATCTGCAGATGCTTTACTGTACAGTCACGATTGCTGTGGGGTGTTTCCCCCTTCTCCTCCCACCCAGGATATCAGCATTTGCTTGTAGTTAGGAGGACACATTGTGTAGCTTGAAACTTAATGGTAGCGTACAAAGTTAGTTCTCTTGACAGTGTAATACTGTAGATCAGCTTACTCGATGTACTTGAATTGACAATGCCTGGGATTGCACGAAGGCGTGGGGAAAATGCACTCCGCATACTGCGGTTCCTTTAGATACATAGTAAATATGGTTGTGCTGCTTTTAAAACACTTTGGGAACTTGCAGCTTTAGTCATTGAAAATAAATAGAACGCATTTTCCCTCATTTTCTGATACTCTTATCAGTAGGAAAGTTATTGTATTAAGAGACATGATATCAAGTGCACTGAAGGCTTTCTTTTTTAAAAAATCAAAACACATAAAAACAACAAAAAGCGTGGAGGGGTAGGAAACGTTAACTCAAGGAACTTTATATAGTTCAATTTCCATTTAAAGAGCTGTTCCATACTGCTCAATAGCAAATTAATGCTTAAATGGTGTCATCTTGAGAGAGGAGACTGTATTTTCCATAAACTCTATCTCCTTAGCATATTTTGGCCCATACGCTACAAATAGGTATCCTTTTCACTGATATTTGCTATCAGCAGCTTTCTCCTGAAGCTGCTGCCGATAATTGTTTCGGAGTGTGTTCAGCTGAGGGCCAGTCACCAACTCTTCCCTTACCTGAGTTTGGGACATTCAAAGCAAATAAAATGCTCTGATGGAGAAAGGATTTTAATAACTGTTTATCAGCCACCGACTAGAAGAACGTGACTCGAATAAACCCTTTGCATTTTGCTTTCTTTGTGGACTGACAGGTGGCACGGAGGTGGGGAAGGAGGAAAAACAAGCCAAAAATGAACTATGAAAAGCTCAGCCGAGGCCTACGCTACTATTACGACAAGAACATCATCCACAAGACTTCGGGGAAACGCTACGTGTATCGCTTCGTGTGCGACCTGCAGAACCTGCTGGGGTACACGGCGGAGGAGCTGCACGCCATGCTGGGGGTGCAGCCCGACACGGAGGACTGAGCCCGACGACGTGATGCTGCAGGGGCGAAGATTCGCGCGTTGGGACTCTGCCTGGGAACCGTCTGCAGTCAGTTCTTCTGGCTGCTCAGACGGGTGCAACTGTTGGGAAATAAGGACCTTAACCGATTTTGTAACCAGGGAGAGTTGGAAGGAAGTGGCCTTATTTCATCAGTGGCTTCGGGTGTTGCCGTGTCAGGTACTTGAGCAGCATGGAAGTCAGCACAGACCCTAGCTCTGTCATGAAGACGTGGAAATGCTCTTGGGTTAAGCATTTCGACTACCTGTACCGCAGTATAAAGCGTTTTGGCTACTTACACTGCCATATAATAATGGGGGTTGGCTTTAAAACCAAAGGTCGGATGAGAAACCAGTGATGCAGCAGAACTATTGCTCAGATATTTTAAAATACCATCGTCCTTGCTTACATCTTATATCATGCAGTTTATTTAAAAAATAAAAAAAACCTAATTTATTTTAAATGAGCAGTAAGGAGAATCAATAATAGCTTTGTTCAAAAGCATGTATTATTATTATTACTACTATTCCAGAAATGTGCTGCATAGGTACATAAACACTCTGTGTCCAAAACCAGATGTAGCAACTGTTAACAAAAAAAAAAGACCCTTTAAAGAAGGGAAGGAAAATCATACCATTTCAACATTCAGTTTGTATATATTCTGTGATTCTTTTTGAAACTCTGTAATGTTCCTATTTAACAGATGCTGTATAGTGTAAATTAAACTAATTGTATGTGTGTTTTGAAATAGGACGAATGCAAACTTATCAAATGTTTTTTTTCATGTTTGTCTAGGATATACAACCTTCTGCAAATATTTAATTGGCCTGAGAGATGACATAAGTGCTCAGTATGCATGCATATGGTATGCCTATGATATGAAATGGGGGGGGTGGGGAGGGAGGGCAGGCTCAGTATTTTGCCAAGATTGAAGCTGGCAATTCTTTGTGCATTTTGGCATTTTTACAAGAAACTAATGTTATATTCTGGGACATAAAGGGCCTGTTTGTGGTTTCTTCTGTAACTGAAAATGAAAATATTAATATGGATAAAATTACCTTTTTTTCTTTATAAATGGCATATGTTTTTCAACCTCTATGCATGTCTTTTAAAAACAATTTATATATAAGCCTTATTTTTTCAGTTGACTTGTCTCTTCTTCCTGCAGTTTATCCTGTATGATTAAAATATGAATTCTATTTTTGGAAATAACTGTGACTCCTTTTCAAAGATCAGGAGGGATTTATGTAGCAGCTATTTTTACTGCAAAAAAAAAAAATCCACTGGAAAAACATACTTTGTAAGAAAGCTTTATTTTTTATCTGAGCTTGATGTACATTTAAATGTGTTGTACAGTGTGAGAGGTTTAAAAATACGAGTCTTTATTAAAACCTCTTGAACAAGAAAATAGCATGTGTGGGTTTTAATTTGAAAAGTTTCAGAGGAGTTCATTTTTTGTTTACTTCTTGGTTCAATCCCTGTCCATCCTACCACCCCCCCGCTAAACCTCTACAGGATTAAAAAAACAAAAACAAACCAGCCAGATCTGCAGAGGTAGGGAGCTCGTTGGAGAAAATCCTGCAAGAGTGCATAGGCTGATGGGCTTGAACCAAGCTAAATGTATGCAGCCGCTCGGTGTTTAGATACAAATTCAAGTTAATGTCTTTGTACTCTGAGAGAAAACTACCAGTTCTGCGCTGTGTTGTGAATTGGTGTTCAAGCTGATGGGTGGGCATATGGAAGAAGAGAGGTGTGTTAAGACTACTTATGCTTAAACTGTTCCTGATCCTATCCTGTATAAAGGAAGCCTACTGTTTATCTTTAGCTCATAGTCATATCCATCCCTCCACCTTGCAGAAAAGCATGGAATCGTAGAATGGTTTAGGTTGAAAGGGACCTTGAAGATCATCTAATTGATGATGAAGAGGATGTAAGGGTGTAAAGAGAGCTGCGATCTCCTAAGCTGAGACAGAACTTGGGAGAAAGAAAAAAAAAAAAACCACCAAAAACACACCCTCAAATCAACAAGTGTTCCTGGGCTTTGGGTAACACTCCTAAAAAGGTAGGGCTACTTTTTATCAACTTAAACAACCTGCCTTTGAGCTGTGATCCTAACGAGTGGAGATACCTCATTTTGCAGGAAATAATGTATGGTCTGTCACGATTAATGTGTTTTTTTCCCTGCATGTGTTTCTCATGCCTTGGCAGCAGAGCCCTTAATTGTCTTCTCAATCTGTACAAGTTTCATTTTCAAACTGTTTTCCCTGAACACAGAACTGTTTCTTCATTTAAACCAAAAGCTTAGTTGCCTCTTGAGTGTGGGGTCAGTGTTGGTTTCAACCTAAAGACTAAAGGGAAGTTGTTTGTTTTCCTCCCTCAGCAGAAAAAGAAATTTCATGATAGCAGAAGCAACAAACCATCCCAATACACGCAACCCACACTAGTGCATCTTCTAGAAGCAAAACCTGGTATCCTGCACTAAGTCAGGTGAACACAGTGGTCCAAGCTGTAACCCAGTGTGACCCAGAAGACAATTATTAAAGGATATTTTGTCGCAGCACCCGCAGAAAACACCGCTCTGTTTTCTCAGCCACCCAGCATCAAAGAGGCTGTTGAAAGCAGTCTGGCTAAATTCTTCACCTTCTTCAGGACATGCCTCCCTGCCCTTCCAGCTACCAGCTTTCCTCATGAGGCAGCAGTCAAAATAAAGTCTTGCAGTTGGCACCTACCCATGGTTGGCATGTCACCTCTAATAACAAAGTTTGACTCCAAAGCCTTCTTTGCTCTTTCTTTTTTTTTTTTAAATTTAAGAAAAAAAAAAAAAAACCCACAGTAGAATCCCATCCTAAGTAAAGCAACACCTCCAGTTGGGAAATCTGTGAGCCACAAATGCTCCAGGAGGCTATTCTGGGAAACATATGTCTGCTGCACCCTATTCTTACACTTGCCTTAGGTCTTGGCTGTCATCAGGTACAGATTATGAATGTGAGAAACGGGGCAGATGATGGACGGCTTATCCCAGTACTATATCTCCACCAGTGGGAAGAGGACTGAGTAAACCTGGCCGCTCTCTGCTGGTCCATTCCCCATGTGATCCCCCAGCAACCCCCGCAGCGTTGAAGGGGACACATTGCCCGTTTCTTTTACTATTGACTTAAGGCCTTCTTGCCTTGTCTGACCTATAAGTAGGCTCCTTGGCCACTCTCTACTGATTTGTCCTCAAGCATTGGAGACCAGCACCTCACCCAGGCTCTGAGGTAAGGGTCCACCAAGGTTTTGGTGAGCAGCGAAACAAAGCTCTCTTCTCAGTTCCCTTCTTCATGGCACCTTACATTTTTTGGTGCTTTTTGGCAGTCACTGCGCATTGAGCTGATGATTTCAGAGAGCTGTCAGTGATGACTGAAATCCATTTCCTGGTAACTACCACTTCCGAGTATAACATAGCATACACCCTCTTTGGGTTTTTTCCTTGGGTGTATTAGTTTAAATTAACCTACACTGATGCTCATCTGCCACCTTTTTGTCAACTTGCACCATGTTGTGAGATCCTTCTGGAGTTCCTTGACAGCACTTTGGCATTTGACTACTGAAACTACTTAGTATCATCTGCAGACCTGGAGATTTCACTATCCTCTCATCAGCCTGGGATTTCTGGCCCTGGTCAGAGCCAAGGTGTTATTATGCTAAGAATCAAGAGGGCTGCTACAGGATTCAGCCCCTCTATTTTCAGTTCCCAGATCTTCCACAGATTTCTGGGGGGGCCCAGCTAAAACACTTCAAGACTGAGCCTCTCTGACAGGGCAGCTGCTATGCTAGTGTAAAACTCATTCATTTACCCTTGTGCATGCAACTAACAGCACCAAAGTGGTGTTCTACCAAATCTCGTCTGGGCTTTCGCTCTCCACAAGAAGGTTGTGGACCAGCACTCTTGTGATGCAGGACCACATCTGGCAATGAACACAATCAGCAGCAGCTTGTGCAGTATGGAAACACAGCACCTGGTGCTCAAGAGGGTTCAGTACAGAGCTCTGAAACTATAGTGCTCTATATATGTCAACCAGACACTGGAACATCTCATATTTTTGCTACAAAAGCCTCCTGGAATTTAAAAGGAAGCAAGAACTAAAAACCAATATACATGTTCACAGTACTAGTGGAAAGCCTTTTTGATGCCCTCTCCAAGGATGGTCCAGATTTTGACAGATTAAAGAATTGCCAGATCTTGGCCATCGCAGTTTATCCTCTGTCTCATGTTTCTCTCTTTCTCTGTGTGAAGCGGAGCACCGGTTTAACCGCCTGTGTTCACGCAGCCATGTGACTGAGGCAGTGCTTCATATGCTAGACATGTGAACGCTCAAAACGCTAAAGAGGGAATAAAAGGCATCCCTGTAAGCAAGAAGAATGAAAAATTCAGCCCAGGGTGCATGATCTTTGAGAAAGATATCTAGTATCTCATTTGCAATGTGTGCCATGTGATGTGTAGTCTGGAACCACACAATACAGGAAGTTACTAAAAATAAATAAAATAGGTTGGCCAGTGATGGCATAATTTGTTCTGTGAAAATTGAGATTTTCAAGCGATAAGTATCATTTATGAATAGGAGAGTTTTAAGATAATTCTGTGGTTTGGGAAGAAGCATTAGATCTCGCTATTTTTCTTCCTTCTGCCTCTATCTCTCTTTGCATTTACAATGAAGTAAATGATGACCTTAACAAAATATAATGAGTAACAAGTATAACAAGTATAATGAAATCTCTGCACATGCAAAAGGGTATGTTCTTTCAAAGATATTTTTCCCAGATGCTGTCTAGATAGCTAGCAAAAGGGCCCAAACTCCCATATAGAAGGTTTGCCATGATTTTCTGCATCAGCACAGAATCACAGAATCACAGAATGGTTAGGGTTGGAAGGGACCTCTGGAGATCATCTAGTCCAACCCCCCTGCCAGAGCAGGGTCACCTACAGCAGGTTGCACAGGATGGCATCCAGGCGGGTTTTGAATGTCTCCAGAGTGGGAGACTCCACAACCTCTCTGGGCAGCCTGTGCCAGTGCTCTGCCACCCTCAAAGTAAAGAAGTTCCTTCTCATGTTAAGATGGAAAATGACCTAAAATGAGACAGCAAATGCAAAAGTCACGATGCAGTTCCTCTGAAGTCTGCATATCCGAAAACTATTTGTTCACTATTTTCTTTCACCGTGAGCAGAATCACAAAAGAAAATGGGTTTGTCTGTGCATTCCTTAACCTTCGGTGCTTGCGCTGCGGAGGGAAATCCAGAGCCCAGAAGGAGGTGGGCAAGCTGAGCTGAAAGTGTGTGGTTTGGAAACAGAGGGTCCCATCACATCGAGTGGTGACTCCCTCCCAGGCCACCACCACTGTGTATTGGGGCTGGCTGACCTCCCGCTCTCCTAGCCCCATCCCAGGTGTGCTCACATGCACAAAGGCAACACACACAGGGACTAAAGCCTGCAGTC